GCCCCGTAGTGACAGCCAGCATCGTGTGTCTGCACGTGTTGACCCGCAGAGCCATGGACGCCGCGTGATGTATGGCTCCGTTCACTGTGCTACTGTGAAAGAAAGACCGTGACAGTTTAGTGCTTTGTTTGGAGTTTCTGATAAGGGCAGCGTTTAATTTTGCGGGTTATAAGCTCCAAATTAGTTTCAGATATTTTGTAGCCTTGCCTCTTTCTACCACAGTTTCAAGAGACAATTAGGAAATAACGGGCTTGTAAAAATAAAGCCCTATCAAGAGATCTTTTTATCAGCAAATAAGGCTCTTTCTGATTCCTTTGTGCTGTGAAAGCGTTCGACCCGGAACGCCGAGTTCCTTAAATAATACCTCCATAAAATAAAATGAAATAAAATATTTTATTTGAAAGAAAAAGACATTTAAGCAGAAAAAACAATGTATTGACGCCTCCACCAATTGGAAACATTCTGGGTGTTTGTCAGTCATTTCCCCACAATTCAACGCGCTTCACGGCAGTGGGTGGGTCATTTAAAATACAGCGAAGGTCTATGAGTTTTACTGTGTGTGTGTGGAGTCACTGGGGTTACAATAAAATATTGTTTACGATATTGGACCTCCTGAACCACTATTACATTCGTGACGCCTCCAACTGACCCACTGTTGTTAGTCTGCTTCCCTGAACCCACTGAGTAAAAGCTGGCGGTCTCATGAAATAGGCGCTATATCGTGGATAAAGTCTATGCCGGATTTAAACGTGATCCTTAGGCTCTTGATATATTCTACCAGATGTGTACGTTGTCACCGAGCAAAGCAGCCTTATACCGCTGTGTGAACGGAGTGCAGCGGAGGGGGGTTGGGGAAAGAGGAAGCCTCCTTCCCTCTCTCCCTCCCTCCCTCTCTCTCTCTCTCTCTCTCTCTCTCCCGCTCTTTCTCTCTACCCGAAACACACCGCGCGCTCATATAGACGTGCCCTCTGCTTTATTTAACGGAGTATCTGGCCTATTTATGTGCAATGTGGCTGTTAGCAGGACCAAAGGAGCCATTCCGCTGATTGACACCGGACATTTACTGAGTGTCTCTGATTAAATGGCAAGGTCTAACTTATATGAAGTTCTCTCTTTCTCTCCGTCTTTTCTCCTCAACTTTCAGATGTAAATGTATTGACGTCTGTGTGATGACTTAGTGTCCATGTTGTGGTGTGAAAATGTGGTGGGAGTCTAAATAATAGTTAATGTGGGATGTAAAAAGTGTCATGATTTTAATAAACCACCACCTGGATACACAGTAACTGATGCAATGTGGTCCTGATGTTCTTACTTTTAGTTGGTCAACCAGTGTTCTGTTCAAATTTATTCCATTCTGAGAATGATTTAGTAATTGGATGTTTAAGTGTTAATTTCTCTCTGTAGGTTTATGGCCTATGCCAAAAGCCAGTCTCTACCTGTATGGAGTGTTTTGAGATTTCAAGTAGCCTGCTGGGTGTTGTGTACCTTTCAGGCCACAAGAGTGCAGGCTAGGGACTGAAGTGCTGTTATGGAGTGGAAATTAAGTACAGTGCTTCATTCTCAAAAGTATTAAGTTGTTGTCTTGGAAAGCTGATAATTAGTATTGAAACAAGTGTCAAAAAGTCCATAATTGTTTATGTTGACTTTCTGTAATAATTGTATGTATTATTTTTGCAGTAAATAGAAATATACTAATAGGCTATGTATGTTGCACCATGACAGTAGTAGTACCTGAAAACAATAAAAGTATTTAAATGAAAATGCAAAACAACACTAATAGGTGCTACAAGTTGTGTAACATAGGCCAACTGCTGCAGCAGTCTTTCCAAAGTCCACAGGCAGCAGGAAACAGGAGTAATATCCAAGCTAACAGGCACCTAGTCTGTGACTCTGGTACATGAACAAATATGGCAACCTCCAAGTTGTCTCTTCGGAAATCTTCAGCATATACGGACTGCAGTTTGTCAGGTTCTGTGTGTACAGGAATTGTCGAGGGCAGCGAGCCTATAGTGTTGTACTTAACAATCTCAGCAGTGAGCAATAAGCCCAGAGAGGAAAACTTGTCTGTCAGTCCCCACTTGTACTGCTAGAGCCAGCAAAACCTTATCAGGCTCAAATGAGTTTTTAACACTAGGGCTATAATGCTTTCATTTATTCAGTAACCTGTGGCTGCTAGTTAGCTTGGTGACCTATAAAAGGCAAGCAGGCTGAAGCAAGTGAACACTTTTGTTTGTGTCCAGCTTTGGAGTGTGAGCACATGGCTATTTCCCAAAGCAGCAGTGTAAACTCAATTTGTATCAAATTCACAAAAAATTGTTCATTCATTTTGCGCTATATGAGTATTCTGTTATAGGTACTCACAAGGGGATGTGATCAACTATGTCTTCCAACAGCATTTAACACATCATCCTTATTCTTTTATTTTGCCCAGCACATAAACAGGGCTCCCTGTTTCAAAGGTGAAAAATATCTAAAAATATAATCAAAAAAATCAATAGCGCTTTGGACAGATGCAAAATAGCTTACAACGCATATTAAATGGGAGTAATATATACAGAGAAACATATCTTAAGTTGTACTATAGGATATGATCCTTTAGTGTAAAAAAAAAATATTTTTGGCATTATATAATTAATTTTCTCAGTTTTCTTTGCCTCATCATGTCTGTAGACCATTTTGGTTTTCTGGTCATTTATATAGCCTGTTCACAAATAAAATTATACTAGTGACCAAAACTATTTGCTTTCCAATTTAATAATTGTTTTCTCACTGAAATTTGAGTTTTACCTCAATATTGAAAGAGGTTAGACAAACCTTTAACCACATAAAAAACAAGCAGGTTCAGTTAAACCTGGTTTTAAAGGAGAACTACAAACTAAATTAGTGTCTTGCTCTGTACATATAATCCCAGTATACAATGTGATGTTGATATTTTTTCAACAAAATTATTATTGTGTGTAAAATGTATTTTTATGCCCAGATTTAGCTATTTTCTTTATGAGTAAATTTGAAAGTTTGGTTCAGCTGACGACTCTGGCCCTTCCCTAACTGTGGCGTAACAGGCAAGCGTGTATTCAAAGACAAGATAAGGCTGACAGTCACATTAACAGCGATAAACAGCAGGCCTGCAGCTATGTATTGACCCCCCCATAAACACACTCACTGCAGCCTCTTGAAGGAATGCTGCTACTACAGCTGCAACTACAACACACTTTCCACATAATGACTCTCTCAAAAGGCCATAAAAGTGCTTCTAGTGACTGTCAAAGTTCTGAAAGGCTCCATGCCTCTCCAGTCATGACACAGTGAGTTCAACAGCAGTTTAATTTTTGTGCTTCTCATTTGCATGCATTTTGTTCCTAGGGGCCACCATGGGCAACAGAGTGTGTGGCATTTTAAAATAGTGAAACTGTCAAGGTCAGGTCTTTGTAACAAGGTAAATATATAAATATAAAATGGCATTTAAAGGAAATGTTTGTATTTTCTCTTTTTCGTTATATATACAGTGGCCTTGCTTGGCATAGCTTTACAGTTTGAATGCATAAGGCAAAAGCAATGACACTTGATCATAATTTTAAATAATTTAAAAAACAAGGTGAATTATTACTCAAGCCATTTTTTTTGTTGGAATCTTCTATCACACCTTTCAGACAGTTCCTAGTTCATCTTTACCACCTTTGAACCTCCCTATTTATTTTAAACATTCACTTTAGATTACTGGGTTAAACCAGGGATTTGTAAGAAACCTGTCTGAATCTTTTCTCACTCGTGTTGCTTGCCCAACTGGATTTGAGTGTAAAGCATTTGTGTCATGGCAGGAGTGCAGTGTAACCCAGGAATGATGGAAGATGTGCAAAGAAAACTTCAGTTTTTTTTGCCACTGATGGTATATCTGAAAGCTGCGATCAGTTTCTTTATCTGCACACTGTCTTACATTATGTCTGTCCTTTCCCTCTCCTTTCTCTCATTCTGGAGGAAGGAGAATATCTTGTTGCTACACCTTGAGAGAAGTGATGTATTTGCATCTTGAGAGAGCTGATGTATTTAACTATTTGCAGCACACAGATCCATGGTGGTTTATTATGGATTACCAACAGTGAATGACCTTCAGGAGATATTGATCTCACTTTCTAAGTGGTGTTGGTTGTATTTGTGTGCATGCTACATAATACTTTGGGCAGGGAAACAAGGAACTTACACAAAGAACTTACTTGTGAAGCCAGATACTGTCCTATAGAACTTACTTGTGAAGCCAGATACTGTTGTAGTCAGGGGGAAGGTTAAGGGACGTAGCTCGACATCACATTATGCCAGCACAAGACGTACTGCAGTCCACGGACAGAGCCTTCTCCATAATGCACACACACGTTGAGTTAACAAGAAAAGCTTAGCCGATTCCCCTCGACTTCTGTATAGTGTTTTACTGTGCTGAAACATTCATCTCTCCAAAGGCCTAATCATGTTTCTGTGGCAAACTCATGTGGTGCCTTTGTTGAGGCATATTGGGCATCACACTGTGCCTGATGTGCACCTCCTCTAAAATGTAAAATGTCACATGGAGAGTTGCTGGTGAAACTGAACTTCATTACTGCTATAGTTTTCTTTTGTGTTGTGAAGGTAATGTTAAAGAATCTTTTTGTATGGCAGTATTAGGTACATTTATATTTTTTGATATACAAAGAAAAATGGTTTATCTCAAAAGCACAACATAGATAATTACACTGCAACACTCCAGGAGGTGAGCAATAATATTACCCTAAAGTTATCTCCTAATTGAATTATTCTAATAACCCACAAGTCTAATGTAAAAACA